AGATATACATAGACAGGAAGAGAGAATAAACTACCACAGCGCTCACACAGCACTGTGGTAGTACATTGAGAATTACAAGCTGACAGCCGCAAAGGTTGTCGAGACTTGTAGTTTTTCATTCACAGAATTCTATGAGTGCATGACAAGGATATTTGGATAGCAGACACGGAGAGCAGATCCCTGATCTACTGACACAGCGGGAACTCGGGGGTTGCGGGGGCAGCTGAATATGGGTGTAACATGTTAGAAAAGGTGAACTTATCCTTTAAGCATCTCCATTTCAGGGATTCCCGCTAACCTAATGAGGCTAATTCATACTATTTGTGTTTCCACCCTATGGGCCATCGCCCTACATTGGAAATCACCTGTAGTCCCATTGGCTTCTGTTTTGCGGTGAGTTGATATGGTCATGCTCATGGAACGTATTCAGTACACATTATTGGATAGGATGCATTTATTCAACTGTAAATGGGATGGTTGGAAGACACATCGACATCTATTGTTAGAATAACCTGATTTGTCCTTGTCACATGATTCATGCTGTTGATCTGCCAACATTGTTGCTTGCTTCTCTCATGTACTTGATTTTTCTTTTGTGATTGTCTCTATATAAGTGAAAATTTCTTACGTGCCTTTTTCTTACTGTTCATTCTAACTCATCTATGATATACAGCTTTTGTAGACTGCCTTTCAATAAAAAAAATTTCTAAACAAAAAAAGCTTTGGAGCATCTTTTATCTCTAGGAAAATCTGGAAGGTGCCTGCTTTGTTACTTTTATAACACTGACCCCAGGGGCATCCCTAGGCAGGTGAGGGGGGTGTGCGCCGCACCAGGTGATACCTATTGCAAGGGGGTGACACCGGAGACCCTCCACGAAAAGGTAAGTTTTCAATCAAGTCAACGATCCCCACAGGATAGATCGGATCTGCAGATTGAGTATAATGGATCGGAGTCTAATCCATTATGCTCCCCAATCCGCAGATCCGATCCATCTTGCGGGGATCATCGGCTTGCTTTAAATCTTACCTTTTTATGGCGCTCATGGATCACATCTGCGGATTGGGGAGGATTATGGATTGGACTCCGATCCATTATGCTCAATCCGCAGATCCGATCTATCCTGCGGGGATCGTCGGAGGGGGTGTCACCAAGTGTTCCAGCACCGGGTGACACCAACCCTAGGGATGCCCCTGACTGACCCCCAGGTAACTTTCACTGCATTTTAAAAATAGATGTGAGGGCTGTACTGAAAGTATTGCAAAAGTGGCCATAACTTTTTTATTCATTTATGTAGATGGTTCAAATTGTATACGCTGGTAGAGTAACTCTTCCTCCGTATTAATTGTTCTTCTTTTTTATTGCAGGTAAATAATGGATTTCAAGCAAAAGCAATGTGCCATCATTGAGTTTTTGATGAAGGCGAGGTGTAGGTTGTTCAACATCCACAGAGGGCTACATAATGTTTACGGAGATGATGCCATTGACAAGAGCAATGAGTTGTCATTGGTGATTCTTGTCAATGGCGTCATCTTTCTGTAGCCCTCTGAGGATGTCGAACAGCCTACACCCCTCTTTTGTCAAGAATTCAACATTGCTTCTGCTTGGAAAAGAAACAATGTTTTGGGGTTGATTTACTAAAGCTAGGGAATGTGAAATCTGGTGCAGCTCTGCATAGAAACTAGGCAGGTTTGTCAAAGCGTAAAGGAAAATTTTGGGAACAATTGTTTTTTGCCAGTGCAGTACGGCTGTGCCAGCACTGCACGGGTTAACTGCTTGTTATGCTCTAGGGGAGAGAAGAGTGGAGATATACTCACATGACCCACTGATCCTCGCAGCACAAGACTGGTCCCTTCGGCATCCCCCCCCCCCCCGTGGTCCAGTGGTCTTGTAAATGGACTGTTCCCTGACATCAGCAAGCTCAAAGCACACTCCACAAACAGGAACAGTCCACCTCTGGACCACGGGGGGGAGCATAGTTTTCCGGGGGATCGATGGGTCAGGTGAATATGAGCTTTGTCTTCACCCCTAGAAAAAAGGAGCAGCTGAACCACACAGTGCAGGCACAGCTCCACTGCATGGTGAAAAGACATTTTTGACTGGAGTTCTGCTTTAATTGAATGAGCTGAAGTTAGAAGCTAATTGGCTGCAAAGCATAGCTGCACCAGATTTTGCACTCTTCCATTTTAGTAAATCAACCCCTTTGTGTTTGCGATAAAATGTAGGGAGAAAAATGTCTGCAGCTTATTTTTATCTTAACAGGTTTCTATTCCTAGCCTTTAATAATTGCTACATTTATTACATTAGGCTAATTTAAATTATAGCAAAGCCTCACCAAATGCTTACTTCAGTGCCCAGCAGTTTTAATTCAGGTTCTGAACACAGGGGTGCAAGCAAGGTTATTATTTTACTGCTCATTCATACCTGAGCCTTCTATAATCACCAGTAGAATTACACAATTCTACCCACAATTCTGGAACACATTAAAATTGCTGAAAAACATGCAATGCACATTTGGGTGCAATTATTGTTAATAGCACACCAAGAGCGCAAAGGAAACAGGCGTTTTGTCGTGGTACCAAATGATCAAAACCGCATATTCCAAAAACATGCCAAGCTAGACTTCAAAAAAAGGTACAGGAGCTACTTTGGCTTGTTGGTGGAGAAGAAAGCATCAAATTCAAATGAATCGTGCTGCTCCACAAACACAGGAAAACCCATTTTAACCACTTGCCTACTGGGCACTTATACCCCATTCTTGCCCAGTCCAATTTTTAGCTTTCAGCTCTGTTTCATTTTGAACGACAATTGCGAGGTGATGCAACATTGCACCCATATGAATTTTTTATTATTTTTTTCACACAAATAGAGATTTCTTTTAGTGGTATTTACTTGCCACTGGGGGTTTTCTTTTTGCACTATAAACAAAAAAAAGAGCTAAAAAAACATTTTTTTTAAGTTTTTCTTTACTTCTATTGTAAAATTTTGCAAACAGGTATTTTTGATGATGGCTGCACTGATGGGCACTGATAGGCAGCACTGATTGGCACTGATGGCAGCACTGATGGGCACTGATGAGGTGGCATGGATAGGCAGCACTGATGGGCACTGACAGGAGGCACTGATAGGGAGCATTGATAGGGGGCACTGATGATGCTGCGCTGATAGGTGGCACTGATGGACAGCACTGATGATGCTGCATTGATGGGTGGCACTGCTGGACACTGATAGGCGGCACTGATGGGCACTGATGGGTGGCACTGATAGGTGGCACTGCAGGGCACAGGTGGGTGGCACTGCAGGGCACAGGTGGGTGGCACTGCAGGGCACAAGTGGATGGCACTGCAGGGCACAGGTGGGTAGCACAGGTGGGTGGCACTGCAGGGCACAGGTGGGTGGCACTGCTGGTTGGCACTGCAGGGCACAGGTGGGTGGCACTGCTGGGCACAGGCGGGTGGCACTGCAGGGCACAGGTGGGTGGCACTGATCATCAGGGCACTGATCATCAGTGCCCTGATGATCAGTGCCAATCCCTTCGCTGACAATTGCTGGTTCTTGGCAGTACTTTCCTCATGCTGTGACAGCGTGAGGAAAGTGCAGCCGATAACTGGCAACTGTATTTACCCGGTGATCTGCTGTGTCATTAGACACAGCTGATGATGTGGTCAGGGCAGACTGACCATTTGGAAACTCGGCACTGCCCGGGGTCAGTAGGGGGCCCCATGAGATGCCCCTGGTACCTTTGTCATAGGCTTTTTTGAGTTTGGGCAAGGTCACAGGGGCCCCATGATCCCCTATTGCCTGGGGGCCCCATGAGTTGTCAGTCCACCCCTGGACATGGTAAAAGGCCACCGTGATTGGCTGTTTACCATATCACTTGATCAGCTGTGTCCGAAGGACACAATGATCACCGGTGGCACCAGGTGCACGCCGCTGGGGGGCACATGTTCTGGAATGAAGTCCATGGACGTCGTCCCAGGATTACACAACTGCGCTGTAGCCGTCCTTCAGCTATCACGCGGTTGGGAACTGGTTAAAACACACTAAGTCTCAGTTCACACTGTACAACTACATTCCTGTGCAATTCACATGCGATTCAGTGAGATGCAATTGGAGCCCATTCATTTTGAATGGGCTCAAATTGCACCGCATCACACCAAAAATGTGAATGCACCTCTTTTGGAGCTGCAACACAACCATGGTCGTTTTGTACCACTTGATCCAGTGCAGGCAATCACACTGCACTTGGGGTGTTGTTAACTTTGTATTGACACTTGCAGCAGATCACAAGGACAGTGCAATTGTGTTTCCCGCACCGCAGTAGCATGAACCTAGGCTAAAAACAAACTGCTCTGCTGGCCCTAAGCAATGAAGATATCAGTGCTATAAGAAAACATTTCAGAGAAGAGGTTTCAGTTTCCAAGGCAGTATAAATATGTTTTTCATATAGAAAAGTTAGAATGTAGCTATGATGATAAACATTAATTCAAGTAGTAAAATGTAACAATTTTAATTACACTGCATCACATATACTGTAGATAAAATCTCTGTTACCTCCCAAAGGAAATTGTCTTCCTGATCTTTATTAATTTACTGCATTATCAGATCCAGATCCGCAATGCTATGTTGGCTGGTGGAGTCGCAGTTGGATTTTCAGCGTACATGGTTCAGTATCCATGGATTACAATGACCCTAGGTCTACTAGCTGGACTTATTTCCACAGCAGGACTAACATACCTCCAGGTAAGCAAATATAGAGATAACACCAATAATTTCATACAACAAAACCCTGTCCATAATAGGCACAGTCAGTATTCTAAATCTTGAAACAAAGCATTGAGCCATCTTAAAGTGTTACTACACCCACAACAGTAAAATCAGTCTGTATATGCAGTAAAGCATAATTGTTATAGTCACTGTAAAACCTAAGGGGTTAATCCTCTGCATTGTGTGAAAAGGCTGTTTGATCCTTCTCTGCCCCTCCTCTTGTTGTAATGACCACCTGATAAAGACTGAATCCGTAGGCACATGCACATGCTCAGTTTGGTGTGTATTGCTAGAGAGGATTTTTTTTTTTTCTTGGGAGAGTGCATGTGATCAGCACAGGGCAAAGCAGCACTGTCCAGACAGAAGGTCAGAGGTTTCACAAACTCCTAGAGCAGAAAGAAAACTCCTCCTACAAGCTTTCACCAGTGCTCTGCTGAAGTCACAAGACTGCTCTAAATGCTGATGAGAAAAGGTATTTTGTTTATATTTACTAAAATAATTGCATTTCCATGTGTGTGTACTGTGGGAGACCAGATATAGTGAATGCAGGGTCCTGGGTTAGTATCACTTTAAATCATTGTCATAAAAAGGAAGTCATGTAAAAGCTGAATGAGTGCAGTCACACCACAAGGCTTGTTGAGTTGTGAGCTCTAATGCTCTAGTATAGCACAGGTCAATTATGGCCAAGTTTAAAGGAAACTTTTCATGAGAAATTATGGAGGCTCTCATTGATGATGATGACGATGATGATAATTAATACTATATAGGATTTATACAGAGCCAACAGTTTATGCAGTGCTTTACAACATGAGGGCAGACAGTACAAATACAATACAATTCAATACAGTAGGAATCAGAGGTCTTTGCTCATTAGAGCTTACAATCTAGAAGGGAGGGTCAAGAGATACAAATGGTAATAACTGTGGGGGATGAGCTGATGGAGAAAATAAAAGTACAGTTGTTAGGAGGGGACAAGATATGCCTCCCTAAGTAGACAGAGTAGGAGATAGTCAAATAGATTGGGGTAGAGAGTTCCATAGGATGGGAGAAGTCCTGGAGGCGAGCATGGGAGGAGGTGACAAGGGAACTAGAGAGCAGGAGGTCTTGGGAGGAACTAAAAGAATGATTAGGTTGGTATTTTGAGACTAGGTTAGTGATGCATCGGGGATGAGGGAGGTGTTGAGTTGTTGAGATATTTAATTAATTCTTTGAATGAGCGGAAGCCAGTGGATGGATCAGCAGAGAGGAGTAGCAGACACTGAGGTGATGAGTCTGGCAAGCAGTGTTCATGATGGACTGGAGGGGGGATAGCCTATGTAAAGGTAAGCCAATGAGGAGGAAGTTGCAGTAGTCGAGGCGAGAGATGACCAGGGAGTGAATTCAGAGCTTTGTTGTGTTATTGGTTAGGAAGGGGCGTATTTTGGAAGCGTTGCATAGGTTAAGGTGGCAAGCTTTGGACAGTGATTGGATGTGGGCCTGTAAGGATAGTTCAGAGTCCAGAATTACACCTAGCACCTTGGCATGCGGGGATGGGTTGATAGTTGTACCATCGATTTTGCCAGAGAAGTCAGGGAAAAGGGGGAGGAAATATTATTAGCTCAGTTTTGGATAGACTGAGTTTGAGAAAGTAATGAGACATCCAGACTGATATGTTTGTTAGGAAATTAGTGATGTGTGTGGAGACCGACACAGGAAGGAAGTATAGATCGAGGATAGAAGAGGTCCATGAACAGAACCCTGAGTGACCCGAAAAGAGAAAGGAATAGGAGTAAGTAAAATTGTAAGGAAAGCCAAAGGAGACATGGGTAGGTGGGTTGAGAACCAGTGACGAGTACAGTCACAGAGACCAAAAGAGTGAAGTTTATGAGGAGGAGGGGGTGGGTCTACAGGAGAATGTATGCAAAGAAAAAGGCAGTAAAAGTAGGTCCAGGAGAATAGCTATCTCCTCCTGTACAGTTGCAAGAGCAAAAGTTTTATGTGGTATTGTTCCCCTTGGCGATTACATGGAACCCCTTTTTGCATGAATTGGGCATAAAATGTGCTCTGAACGTCATCTAAGTCACAACAATAGAAGAACACAGTCTGCTGAACATAATACTATACAAACATTAGATGTTGCCATGGTTTAATTGCACATAACATGTAAACATTCACAGTGCAGGGAGGAAAAACCAAATGTTTCCTGTAGTTGCAGATCAGACCTGCACAACTATCTGGAGTAATTTTGGACCACTCCTCTTCACAAAACTGTTTCATGTAGCAATATTCTGTCCTGTTCTGCATCTAAACCTGTTCTGAACCTGATCTACACCTGTTCTGAACCTGCTCTAATCCTGTTCTGAATCTGTTCTAAACCTGTCCTCAACCTGATCTAAACCTGTACTGAACCTGATCTAACCCTGTCCTGAACCTTATTTAATATTGTCCTGAACCTGATCTAATCCTGTCCTATGGAAATGCAATTATTTTAGTAAATATAAACTGCTAAATACCTTTTCTCATCAGCAGTATATAGAACAGTCTTGTGACTTCTATCAGCTTTCAGCTGAGCACTAGTTAATCTCGGAGGAGGAGTTTTCTTTCTTCTCTGACTGTCCTATGAGGCTGCATGACCCCTGACCTTCTGTCTGGACAATGCTGATTGGCCCTGTGCTGATCACAAGCACCCTTCCAAAATAAAAACAAAAAAACAAATCTCTAACAATACACACCAAACTGAACATGTGCAGAGGGCCTCCTGGGGCTCTGTACTATCAGCAGATGGAATGGGGACAGTAGAAGAAGGGAAGGAAAAGAGAAGACAGGATCAAACGGCTTTTTTACGCAATGTGGAGGATTAACCCCTTAGGTTCAGCAGTGAGTATAACCAGCATGCTTTACTGCACATACAGACTGATTTTTCTGTTGTGGGTTTAGTAACATTAAATAATGCATTACAATTGAACTAAACCCATTAGATTTTAGTCGACTAAAATATGACTAAAACAATTCAGATGACTAAAATATGACTAATACTAAAATGGCATTTTAGCCAAAAGACTATACTGTATTTTCCGGCGTATAAGACGACTTTTTGACCCTTGAAAATCTTCTCAAAAGTTGGGGGTCGTCTTATACGCTGGTACACGTCAGGGGGCACTTTTTAGGGGGGCGGCGCGGTGCTGCCGCCGTCCGCCCCTTCCAACGGAAGGGACACCAAGTACAGGGGTGGGCAGAGGGCTGCAGTCTCTTACCTGGCTCCCACGACGATCCATCCAGGAGGCGCTGCTCCTTCAGTCACTCCGGCCACTCCCTCACTCCTGCCGCTCGGCTCCGCCTCCTCACCGGTGATTGGCCGCCAGAACTGTAGCTCAGGAAAGGCACACAGGTGCACACATCGAGTGAGGGTAAGTGTGAAGTTTAGAGGTGCTGCTGCAACCACATATGCTGGCTGCAGCAGTACCATACTAGAACAGGAGTCAGCAAGTGTCATTGGTGTCAGTGGGAGGAATAGTGCCCCATCATTGGTGTCACTGATACTAATGATGGGGCACTATTCCTCCCACTGACACCAATGATGGGGCACTATTCCTCCCACTGACACCAACAATGGGGCACTATTCCTCCCCCCACTGACACCAACGATGGGGCGCTATTCCTCTCCCCACTGACGGAGTACTATTCCTCCCACTGACACCAATGTTGGGACACTATTCCTCCTACTGACACCAATGATGGGGCACTATTCCTCCCACTGACACCAATGTTGGGACACTATTCCTCCCACTGACACCAATGATGGGGCACTATTACTCCCACTGACACCAATGTTGGGACACTATTCCTTCCACTGATACCAATGATGAGGCACTATTCCTCCCACTGACACCAATGATGGGGTGCTATTCCTCCCACTGACACCAATGATGGGGCGCTATTCTCCCACTGACACCAATGATGGGGCGCTATTCCTTCCACTGACACCAATGATGGGGCGCTATTCCTTCCACTGACACCAATGATGGGGCGCTATTCCTCCCACTGACACCAATGATCGGGCGCTATTCCTCCCACTGACACCAATGATGGGGCACGATTCTTCCCACTGATACCAATGATGGGGTGCTATTCCTCCCACTGACACCAATGATGGGGCACGATTCGTTGCTCTGACACCAATGATGGGGCACGATTCCTCCCACTGACACCAATGATGGGGCGCTATTCCTCCCACGGACACCAATGATGGGGTGCTATTCCTGCCACTGACACCAATGATGGGGCATGATTCGTTGCTTTGACACAAATGATGGGGCACTATTCCTCCCACTGACACCGATGGGGCACTATTCCTCCCACGGACACCAATGATGGGGCACTATTCCTCCCACTGACTGACACCGATGGGGCACTATTCCTCCCACTGACACTAATGATGGGACACTATTCCTCACACACTGACACTAATGGAGCACCATCATTGGTATCAGTGGGAGGAATAGTGCCCCATCATTGGTTTCAGTGGGAGGAATAGTGCCCCATCATTGGTGTCAGAGTGAGGAAGCGTGCCCCATCATTGGAATACCATACCATATTGAAATCAAATCTGATGTTTTTTCAATTTTTGGTGTGCGTTGGAAGAGGGGTAGTCTTATACGGCGAGTATAGCCCAAACCCTATATTTTAACAGGAAAAGTAGGGGGGTCGTCTTATACACCCAGTCGTCTTATACGCCGGCAAATACGGTAACTAAAACTGAATTGAAATTTGACATCAAATTTAACACTGTTGCTTACGTGTTGCTTCACACTAGAAAGCTTGGGTATTATAGGAACTAATATGGCTGATCTGGGCTGCAACCAAGCTTTGTGTGACACTGAAGGGTGTGTGCAATACCAGGGGCGGACTGAAAACTCATGGGGCCCCCAGGCAATAGGGGATCATGGGGCACCTATGTCCTCACCCACACTCAAACCACACCCAAAAAAGCCCATGAAAAACTACTAAGGGCATCTCATGGGGCCCCCTAATGACCCTGGGCCCTCGGGCAGTGCCAGGGTACCCAAATGGTCAGTCCGCCCCTGTGCTATACAGTTGTGGAGCCCCTTTGCTTTGTAACCTTCTATTTAACTAAAAGGTTGAAAGACGAACAATGTATTGTATTCTGTATATTATTGAGTTGAATAATCTATTTAAATATGAAACTGAATAACATACTTGAATTATATTTTTCATTATGGACAACTATAACTCTCTTTATATTGTCACCTTACCAAAGCTACTGTATTTCTTAATTTTCAGGACACTCTGAAAGTAGTTACATTGGTGCATGACACATGTGGTGTTAATTACACTTTTGGGTTGCCTGGTCTTCTTGGAGCATTGACCTATGCAACTTATCATCCTTGTGGCAGAC